AGATATGCTAGCCAGTATATGCCTTGCTATGGCTATGGGTACATTGTCTGATTCTAATTTATCTGATTTCATGGTTAGTATTCCCTTCGGTGCTCCAGAGTAGTGTGACGATACCTGCCCAATGAGCTCATTGTTTTGCGCATTCGCCGTGGTTTATCGCAACCTCGTGAATTGAACATAAATTAGGTGTACCACTTTCCAAAGGCGAAACGTCTAGGTATGGGATCATAGTGATTCACCTTTTCTTGTTGGATCAATCCAACTATTAATACCCAAGTCCCGTGCAGCTGTAGTAATACTACACGCATTGAATTACAACGTCCCTTAGGTGGTCTGCAGGCCGCACCGGAGAATCCATCACTCTAAGCCCAGTTAACCTATCTTTCTCCATTTTAAGATTCTCAGTTGAGGTAGAAGTAGAGCGAGATGAATAAGTAATTATGAGAAGTTGACATTCATATTGCGATTATTTTTGGCCATACCTAAACTCTAACTTTCCATTAATACCCTTGCCAGCGGACTATCTGCACACGAGGGCATTCTAGGTTCGGCCCGCTGCATGAAAGGAGCTACCGTCCGATATACTTCAACTCCAACTTCCTCAACGGTATATACGAAGCACTCGTGAAAACCAATGCTAACTCATTGGCTATATCGCCCCCATCCGCGCCGATCAATTTTGCAATAGCACCGACATAATATGTCTCGACCATGCCTACGATCCATCCCGCAGCGCCGCACAGAAAGGCAGTGAGGCCCGCAAACCCAATAGGCATTTTCGATGGTGTATTCCAGGCGTCAAGGTCGTAATTTGCTATGTTACCGCCCCGGAAAACGTAGTGCTCGCAAAATAATATGACGAAGAATGAGGTGTTCCAGTAACCCAGCAAGGAGAGGAAGTTCTCCAGTACGTCCAGCAAGTGATCTCGGCCGGCGATGCCCAGGGCTAGGATGCAGCCGAAGACAAGTGTAGACCAGATCGCCCTGGGTACCTTTTCGCATGGCTTGGCGAAGAGCTGGGCTGAGAGTGCGCCGGAGTAGATAGCAATGCAGTTGACACCAACTGTGCAAGAGAAGCGTCAATATGAGCCCTTTTCTTGTCTTGTCTTTTTCTTTTTTTTCAACTAGCTGAGAATGGATTACACTAGGGTTCACTTACTTCCCGAAAGGACTAAAAGAACCAACAGAAACTTGGCGAATCCGTTGGGATAGATGATTTCTTGTAAGATTTCCCCTATTCCGTTGTCATAGGCGGCAGCCCATTCTGGATTTGTATCTAGGGCTGAACTGATGCAAGCTCCGAGTAACATTCCAATGCAAGTTGGGATCGTGATTCCGAGGGTGGTGTAGAGGAATACTTTGACCTTGGAGATATTCACCGGGTAGTGCACGTAAAAGTCTGAGACGATCGAGCTCCATGAGGCACTGGAGCCATACACGACACTAATTAGACTCAGGACATTCCCAGATCTTGTGATACCTGATACTGTTGCAGGTGCAGCGAGGTTTGCCCGATGCGCTGACTCGCCATAAATGATCATGAAAATGACGAAGAACACCATCCATGCATATTGCTCGTACATCAGAACACCTTTCAGCCCAATAAAACTGAAAAGAAAACTGATGCATGCGACAATAACTACTCCCACGGCGATTGAGACACGCCCGTCCGAAACAGCACTCAATGCGAGTCCACCAGTGATGCAATTGACGGATGCCCATCCTAGCTGTTCAATGACGTTCAAAAGAGCAATGATAGACGATGGGTAAAATCCTAATGAGTACCTCGAGATGGCGACTTGACGGAGACCCGTTTCAGGTCCCATCGTCGCACACCAGCCCTATCGATAAATGTGAGCTTTCAAAAACCAAAAACATCAGAATCCTTGAAAAGCCGTAGAAGAGTAGGAAAAGGTATCCGAACCGTCACAGCGGCACCCAGTAATGTTGAACATATTATAATAGGAATGGTCTGCCCCAGAGATAGACCGAATTGCTTTCCCAAGAATCCGGTACTGAAACAGCTGATGTTCATTGTCGCTGACGCCCACATAAAAGCCATTGCTAGCGAATTGGGAGGATTGCGGCCTTCGGGAAGCACCCTGTCGAGACTATGGGACTCGATGCCCAACTTCTGATCCAAATATTCTTCATAATATCTAATTCGGGCGAAGAGTCCTCGTGGCTTCGTTGGGGTCTCTTCCTCGAATGGAGCGGAAGAAAACTCAGCGTGGGCTTCTTTCCCAGCTTCAAGGGTGTAGGTCTCCATGATGCGAATAGTCATGCACTAACAAGCATAGTGTGTAAAGAGTTTCAAGCAAAAGTACTTGGGTTAACTGGCCGAGCCGTGTATTTATGGGATCGAGTTCTTATGGTGCTAAGCTCGAGCCAGAGTAGGGGTACAACCCTCATTCGCTGTGGTAAAATCCTTTTATCTTCAAATTTTCCGGTAGCGCCACTCATTGAGCGGCATGTGTGGAACGGGAGTTCTCTTATCAAGGTCATATGTTCTTCTTCAGTTTAGCTCAATGCTGGAGGGGTCAAAGTGCGGAGAGCAGACTACACATCTGGGAGAATAAGCGTAAATATTTATTGACCTACGATTTTTGCTAATACTATATTCAAATTTACTGGCGTCATCAAGCACTATTTTTGCATTTATTTTTCATTAATACAACCCCTTCGAGCCATGATCAAGGAAAAATTTGCGAGAATGCGTATCTCAATCAAGCTTTGGGTCCACTTCGGCCCAAGCTTAGCCTGTGCCTTTTACATGGGTGGTGGGTCGGATGTCCGAACATTCGGTGGTCCTTCTCTAATTGTCTAGAGTTGCCCTTGAATCCGGTCATTATTGGTACGATATTCGCTCGTCTCATTGCTTATTCGGGATCAGGTCAGTACTCAATAAGCTTAATAGCATAACATGTGCCTTGAACCAAACAATTGGGATACACACCTTTATTTTTATTATAGAAGCATACGATAGCAGTGCCTTTCATGCACCTTCTACTCTATCCAATACTCTTTGCTAAGTCTGTAGACCTATATACTATATTTGTCTTCTAGCAACATGGGTTCAATTGGATAGATTTCGTGCCAGGTTGATACCCAAACTCAGATTTAGGTGGCCAATGCTAATGACTGTCCAAGTTGAAAGCTTAAGTTAGGGTCAGCACAATGGATACTTGAGGTAACCATGGCATTTCTCTGCTTCGGGGGTTAAAGCTATATCCAGCGAAGATAATGTATGCTATACCAGTAAACCAACGCATCAGTTGTCGCAAATTAACAAGACAAGGATCAAATCTCATCCACCAAGCGTATGAAATTATATGGTTGCCATTATATATCTGACACAATGTAAGATATAGACTTATCAAGTTTACCGTCTCGTATGCTTTCAAAGTCTCAACAATGGAGGGTAGTGCGCTGCTCCTCTGTAAGCAGCTGTATTGATTGAAGCGCTTTTCATTTGCTGCTTTTGCGCGTCCAAAGCTTAGTTTAGACAAGAATTAAAGTCAATGACATATCACCTGACAGATCGCGACCGATCGGCATTGATGAGGCCCCAATCAACGACTGGAGGCAGTAGATGTCCTAAGACAATAGTACTCACCTGAATACCTCTGCTTGTGGGTTCTGCCTACTAGTAGTACCGAGATGGTGCTGCATAAATATATATTTAGAAGCAATATGATACCTTTTGTTTCGTTAGTATGCAATTCTTATAGTGGTGGCTGGACAGATCGATTGGTAGAGCCGGCCGTGCTACGAGAAAACAAAAAATAAATAACATGCTTCAGGATTGAGATTAGCGTTCTCGAAGCTCTAGAGTGTACTCTGTCCTCGTATATTAGTTAGTTTTCCAAGTTGAGACATCTGGGTGGACTTTGAGAACTTAATGAGGGATTAGAGAAAGAAAAATAAGAGGAGAGTACACCAGTGTCATTCCCGATATTCTCATTGGAGTATCGTACATTATCCAGCAGAAAATCTAAGCAAGAAGCCATTGTCCATTCAACCCATATCACCAAAGTATGCATTGTATGTCGATCCGCGCGTATGGCTACTGAGCATCTCCTACCCTTTCATGCATGGTCCGAGATTGGTAGACGTATCCCAAATAAGATTCACTTAATTTTAGGCTAAATGCCATCAATTAATGATCCTTGAGATTACTTGAAGTTGGAGTTCAGCTGAAGGAAACTTTTCCTGGCAAGCCCCGTGCTGACATTTGCTATCAATAGCCACATGCTATCGCCCTTTCCATAAGTAGTGTATGTGCTTACCCTGAATGATTACACCTTTTTTTGGAGTAGCAGTAGAAAGTGAAGGTAGTTTTTAGGTGCTGATCATCGCGGTGAAGAAGTACTGAGTAGGTTGAGGCTCCGACGGCAGTGGATTTAATGGTTCGATGGTTCGGCTCCGCCGTCGAATCGCCCAAAAAGGAATAAGCACACCCCGGTCTTTGGCCTTCGACCACTCGGACTGTCTTGTCTGTCCTCTTCGCTCTTCTTCCTTCCCCATCGTCACCACATCAATAAATTATCATTCCTTCTTTGTCAACGGTCGATTTCCGACATCTTCACCCCCCATCCTCTCTTCCCTCTCCCTTATCCTACCTTCCTTCTCTCCGCTTTTGCGGAATTTCTCCTCAATTCCTCTTCACTCTTCTTTTTAATCCTCTTATGCACTGATTATATCTTAATCTCAGCCGCCATTTCTTATTGCCCGCCTCTGGAAATTTTGAGTTGTCAACCTCAAGTGACAATTTAGTGTCAAAATTTCCATTCTATAGTGCTGTTTCAATTTGAGCAGCATCTTTCCTTTGCTTCTAGGGTTCCGGGTATGAGTGACTGGCAGCCTAATATATCTCGAGCTCGAATCAATTGACGAAATAGTGCCTTAGGTTTAATTCGCCTTCCACCCTCACCATAACATATAAATTATACGTCTATTATTCCGAGGTCAAGCAGTTTTAATTACGGTCCCCCGGCAGAATGGCTTCTGATCTGTCTAATGCCGATGTGAACGGCGGAATCCCCAAATCTCGGGCTGCTATGCTCGAGGAACAGCATGCACGTGATGAGGCCCATAAGCCGACTGTGGAGGATGTTGTGGATGAAGAAGATCTCAAGCACCCTCCCCCATCGTCCTTAGTGCAGGACCAAAAGGTGGATGTCCCAGCGCAGAGCCCGGCACCTACGGAAGCCCCCGCTCCCAAGGCTGCCCCTAAGAAGGCGCCCGCCTTTGATGTACAATCGGAGGAGTTGTTCCCTGCCCTGGGAAGTGGCCCGAAGCCTAAAGCACCTGCCGCATCTGCATGGGGTGCTAGAGGGCCTTCAGCGGCTGCCGCCGTCGCCAACGGTGTTCCCGGTGGTTCCCCGGCAGGTAAGTTTCTCAGCACTCGTTCTCGGACACCTGGACATGACTGACCGTCCATGAAATAGCACAAGGCCCCCGCATCATGAGCCTTCCTGGCAAACACGTCGAGCAGCTCCGACTGGCGCCTTCCCAGATGCTTCCTCGAGGACAATTGAAGAAACCTTTGCGGGATATTTTGCGGGACATCTCGAGGCGGTCGAAGGCCAACGTTGATATGCGAGGTGGCCCCGGTGGCTCTATAATCTTCGAGGGCAAAGGTTCAGTAGATGCCGTCAGACAGGCTCTGAAGGAGGTCGCACAACAAGTTGGCTCCAAGGTATGTTTCTGGCCGCTTTGATTTCTGGCCGGCCTATATTAACGTTTGGATTTAGCAATCGGTTCGCGTCCCAATTCCTACTTCTGCCCGACCTCACATCATCGGTAGACAAGGTGCTGTTGTACAGGATATGCAGCAGCGGACGGGTGCACGTGTGCAGGTTCCCCGCGTCGATGAGTCTGCGGGACAGGCCGAGGACGACGAGGATACCATTGATGTCCTCATCGAAGGTGATGCTGTTGCAGCTGAAATGGCTCGGCGGGAAATTGAGGCCATTGTGAAGGAGAGAGCTTCAAACATGAGTCTGCGGCTCAAGTCTATCCCTCCTGAGTTCTTTCCTTTCATCGCGGGAGCTCATAATGCGAACCTTAGAGACATCGAGCAGCGCACCAATGCGCAAGTGCACGTTCCTCGGTACGATACATGGCAAAGCCAGCCCCCACCTCAGGAGGCTGATCCGGGTCATGTTCAGTTTGTGGCAGTCCCTGAAAAGCACATCCACATCAGTGGAGAGCGTGCTGCAGCCCAGGAAGCTCGTGCAGAAATTGAAAGACTTGCTGCTGATCTTCAGCGCCAGTTGACTCTTCGTCAACTCGCTATTAACCGTGGCCAGCATCAATTCATCCTTGGTGATAACGCTGATGCTCTGCATGAGTTCCTTGCTGACACTGGCTGTGCGATCGTTCTTCCACCTTCATCGGATGACAGCGAATTCCTTACGATTACAGGCCCATTGGATTCTATTGAGAATGGTATCAACCGGGCAATGGATCTTGCCACGAGTATGCAGATGGCAAGCATCGACCTGTCACGTCAGCATCCGAATGCTCCCAGTGGAGCACACGCCCACGCGCGTGCCCTTACTCGCTACCTGAGGCAGCGACAGATCATCAAAGAATTGGAAAGTATGTACGACGCTCGTATCGCACTTCCTCCAAGTTCTGATGGGCCGGTCACCTGGGAGGTTTACTCTAGAGACGGAAAAAACACTATTCGTGCGCGGTCCGATATCATGAACCTTGTTCATGCTCATCCTCCAGCAAGGCTTCGCCACATTTCTGTTGACCCCTATTTCCACCCGTACATTCGGTCTCGGGCTATCCCGAAACTACAGGAGGAGTATGGTGTCCATGTCCTCACCCCTGAAGCGCTTGATTGCCCAGACGTAGTGCTCGTTTACGAAGGACCGTCGGCTACTGCTTCTCAATTCGAAGTTCCACGCCAGCGACCAACTGCTGCTGAACTTGCCGCCTTTGAGAAGGCTCTCCAAGAAGCTCAGAACTATCTCTCTAGCGCGTTGGGTGACCAGAATGATATCGTGGCAAAGTCTGCGAATGTGCCTGCCAAGTATCAAGAGAAGGTTAGGAAGTTCGTTGCTCGTGAAGAGCAGGCGAAGGGCGAGGATTCGATACCTGTTCGCGCCCTCGTCGCAGAGCCGAGCGGCCGGGGTGCTGAATGCGAGGTCGCACTGCGCGGTCCTTCCCGTCTCGTGGAAGAGTTGATCTCAAAGTTGCAAGCGTTTGTTACCGACCAAGAGAAAGATGACCTGGAGAGGGGGTATACAACTTCGTTTGACTTCCCTCAGAAATTCGCCAACTTCCTCATCGGTAAGAAGGGTGAAAACATCAATAAGCTCCGTGAGGAGTTTGATGTTGATATCAAGGTGGAGAACGGCAAAGTTGAGGTTAAGGGCCCCAAGGCCAAGGCCGATGCTGCTAAGGTTAGAATCATCAACTTGGGAAAGAAGCTGGAAGATGAAACTACACATGTCTTGAAGATCCCCGCCCAATACCACCGTGAGCTTATCGGTCAGCAAGGTAGCCAGGTTAACAGGCTTCAAGATCGCTATCATGTCCGAGTCCAGTTCCCCCGCGCGACACCTATTGCTGCGGACGACCAGTCTGTCGAGGCATCTAGCGAAGCGGGTGGATCCCGTCCCAGCCGACCTCAGCAGGGTGCTGATGAAGTTATTGTGAAGGGTCCCAGCAAGGGCGCCGATGCCACCCGCGATGAACTGCTTAGCTTGCTGCAGTGGGTCATTGACCACTCTCACTCTGGCTCGGTGTCCGTTTCCCAAAGCCAGATTCCATCCTTGATCGGTCAGCGCGGTCGTGAAATGGATAAGCTCCGCGCTGACACCGGTGCCCGAATTGATGTACCTGGGGCCGATGATGCGCCAGATGCCTCGGGTCGGGTGCTGATCAAGATTAAAGGAACGAAAAGGCAAGTCGAAGAAGCCAAGAAGATCCTGGAGCAACGGTCAACCGAATTTGATGCCACTGTCACTAAGAGTATTGACGTTGACAAGAAGTACCACAAGTCCCTGATTGGTGGGGGTGGTAAGTTTGCTCATTTACTTTCTTTCTCTTTCAATTGCTAACATATGGCCAGGTGCGAATATTCGTAAGATTGTGGCTGATGCTGGTGGACCGACTGACGGTGGCGCATCCCGTATTGTCAGGTTCCCGCGCCCTGAAAGCACTGAGTCTACTATTAAGCTTGAAGGAAATGGCCAAGTCGTTGACAAGATTATTGCTGCTATTGAGGCGTTTGTGAAAGAGCGCGAGGATCAGGTGACTGAGAACGTCGAAGTTCCTTCTACTCAACATCGACTGCTCATTGGACGCGGAGGAGAAACACGACGCGGTATTGAGTCGAAGTTCAACATTACGCTCGATATCCCCAAGCAAGGCTCTGGACGTTCGGATATCAAACTCAAGGGCCCTAGCAATGCTGTTGCAGAGGCCAAGGAGCACATCCTTTCCATGCTTAAGGATCAACAAGGTGAGACCGTGGAGGTTCCCCGGCATTTGCATCACGCCATTTCCGACAATGGCTCTTTCTTCCGTCGCCTTCGTAACGACTACCAAGTGACCGTGGATCATGCTGGCCAGCAAGTACCACCCAAGCCCTCCTCGGATGACACTCGTGGTGCGGTCAACGGCGGTTCATCTCTCCCATTGATCACCGATGAGCCTGACCAAGCCGCTGATGCTCACTCATGGAAGGTCGTTGAGAACACCCCTGCTGCTAATGACCCAACCCAGCCTGCTACCATCACATGGGTGTTGGCAGGCAACCGTGACAATGTGACGAAGGCGAAGGCGGCTCTTGAAAAGGCCATTGCCAATGCATCACAGCAGTCTGCGACTGGCTACCTAATCCTGCCCGATCCGAAGACCTACCGCTTCGTTGTTGGACAAGGAGGTAGCCAGATTAACGCTATCCGTAAGCAGACTGGCTGCCGAATCAATGTGCCCAAGGACCAAGCCAAGGGTGAGGCGATCGAGGTCAAGGGAAACAAGGAAAGCTTGGAGCAGGCCAAGGACATGATCCTGGAGGCTGTCCGGGCCGGACTGGAGGGTAACTCCCGGTGATGCCTGGAGGCGAAGGATTTCACGTATTGGTGATGAAATGAGGTTTTGGCCAACAGGAAGCCGAAAATTCTATTCTACTTGTGTCTTATGTCCGTGAAAAAAATTGTGTTATATACTTTTATTACTTGCATAGGAGGCGCTTGCCCGACCTGGATATTCTGTACTTAACCATTCCATTCTTCTCACGAGTATATACCTATTTCTGTGTATAACGAGTATTACGGCCGTTTTTTTCCTATTTTTTTTTTTTATATTCCATCGTAATACATACAATTGAACTATAGTTCTATATGGCTATCGTGATAAGGACATTGAATGGTGCTCTTTGCACACGAGTATGTAACAAAAGAAAGCCAGACCAGTAAGATAGAGCGCGATCTATTATTTAAACTGAACGATAAGGTAAAGAAGCAAACGGAGCCCCTTCTACTACATCGCAGAGGCACGAAATGATTATAATCATAACAGTTCCAAAAGTCTTCGGTCTTTGAATTTCGCAAATCCCAAGATAACAAACAATTAAAGCAGTATCTGCAGCGGATATCACCAAGCAACCCACCCGATGCCGAACGGAAAGCACACCGAGATGGTCGTACGTTTAAGAAAAACGCAAGGTCGTGTTGAAAAGTTCGTTCTTAATTATTTTTTATTTTTTGTTTTTCTTGTTCCCCGTTATCTATCTTTCTCTACTGGGATTCAGCAGCGGCGTTCAAGTACTGGTAAGCACCGTAGGCGATGGCACCACCGACGACAAGGAAGGCATAGAGGCCAACACCGAGACCGGTGGAGCTGCCGGAGCTGGAGGAGGCGTTGGTAGTAGCCTGGGCGTGAGAACGGGGAGCGGGGTCGCCAGCCTGTTAAGCAAAGCGGAAGTGGTTAGCGATAGGCGACTTTTTATGTTGGCTTGTTTAAGCAATGCCCTAGAACATACCACGCGCTTGAGGTTACCGACGAGGAGACCGTCCAGGATCTCGCGAGCCTCGTCACTGTGACCAACGTCTTCGAAAGCCTCGGTGGCATCCTGGCCACCAACATCGAGCAGGACTTCCTCACCACCGCTATATGCATTGTCAGTTTCTGAACCGCTATGAGATTCGCACTGGTTGAGAGTTCAAATGATGGGGAGTGTCGGGAACGTACGGGTGCTCATCGACGAAAGAAGTGCAGTCGTAGACCTTGTCGTGGATGACCATGTAAAGATCCTTCTTGGTGTTGTGGCCAGACACCTCCTGGAAGGTGAATTCCTTGTTCTCAGACATTTTGTTGGGGGGGTATGAAGACTATAGCGGCGAAACAATGTTAGCGATAGTACTTTTAGGGTCGTAAGCGTAAGATTAATAGACGGATGGGGAGTATGACTCGCGGGATGATCACTGAAAATCATCCAGCGGTGTGGTAGCGTTCACCAGCGAGGTGCCGAGAAACTGCCCCGGGTGAATTACTGCGCAGGGAATTGATGGCGGCATGAACAGGGAAGAAGAGTATCTCATCATCATGCGCCCCGTGTATGTATTACATGTGTCCAACCCGGAGGGTCGGAATGCGAAAAAGGAGAGAGTATCACTTACCAAATTCTAAACTGAAATACAGACAGAAGCGCTGGGTGAGAAGCGAGAAAGGTCGGGAATTGAAAGGATGGGAAGACCGGTGAGAAGGAAAGGAGGAGAAAAGTCGGGGCTGACACTGAAGAAGAGGAAGAAGAGAAGAGGAGTGGAAGATGATGAGAGAGTTGGGGGAGACAGCGGCTAACGTGATTCGACAGAGACTCCGCCTAAGGCCCTCAGGAACCCAAGGCTATTTGTTGGTTTGCTTTGTTTTTTAACTTGCCGTGAATCTCTCCCGTCACCGGTCTTGATGTGCTTTATCCTCGGGGAAGGTCTACATGTGGTACTATCTGGCTAGTCATTCGGTATACTGGATTATTTATGACCATAGTATCTCTGCTCTTAGTTTTCAGGATATTCCCTGCTTCCATCTATGGAGTTCTCTGTATGCCGTGCCCATCGCAGTGCCGGTACCTATCTCGACGCCGACAAGTGGCCTGATAGGGACCATGGGTCAGCGCTCCAATGAGCGGTCGCTTATTAGGAGTCTTAGTCAGAGGAACTTTAGGTTTCCGACCGGCCAAATGCAACTAACCAGACCGAGTCAAGCGCCGTAGTGAATCCTTCATGTGCGGAGGATCTGAAGTTCTTGAGGGCTGGACTCGGAACTTACTTAATCGGATCGATTACTACTTTCAACCTTGAAGTTGGAGTGAGGGGGTTCTGCTAGGTTATGGATTAAATTGCCTATTCTAGTCTACAGAGTACACACAAACCCCAATCAGGAAATTATCCTACCCACGTATCGATCCCATTTCAGCTTCAAGCAAAATGCCAAAAAGCATTTCTTATCGATCTTCATTAATAATTCAAGATCAACAGAACAGGATCAGCTAACTTTCTCGCTATCTGGGTCCACCATATATCAATTCAGGACATCTACCATATTCTAAACCTCTTCATTGTACTCTGCCTTTTTTTTTTTTTCACATGCGGCACGATTATACTTCAGGCCCGAAGGACGTTATTCATCACATGGCAAGCAAAAGCCCTAGGTAGAAAACCTATGCTACCTAGGTATATGCCACATTCGAAGGAGTTTCTCATCAAGCGGAAGCGTAGATCGTAGAAGTCGTGGTAATTCCGCGTTCTTGATCACTTTATCAAGACCCGCCGATATCAGCGCCGCCTTTCGAAGGATAACCGTAATAACCTCGGGGGTGACACCCGTCTCCACGCCTGTCGGGTACCGCTCTCGGGTTCGTTTGCCCGAGATGGATTGTCTTCCCCGCTCTCCGCTGCGGAGATGAATCTAGAGTTAGGTAGATGTGACCTTCCGTCGGTTTTGATATTGATTGATCGGGTTATACAGATAATCTATGAACTGTACAATATGAGGATCATTGTACATACATGCATTGGACTATTTGTTACACCGATGGGTTTGTGGTGCATTGTTCACCTTCTGTTGCTCTGAGTTGTCATACAATACTAGGCCAAAATACAGCGGCACATGTCTTACTGTCTCGCATCTACACGCCCCGAAACAAGCCTCAAAAGCAGCCATGACACCATGCTTTTCATCCATGGGTCTTTCGAATTGATCTAATGTATCTATCAAACCTAATGTAACAACTGCCCTTGTCATTCGCATGTTTAATGACTTCAACAACCAAAGACCTATATACAAACGCATCCAAAATTAACCAAGATCAAAACAAAAACTCGCTGAATGGCTCATAATGGCTCAACACGCTCAACATGCTTGCCATGAAACGTAAAGAGGAAATGCTCGTTATATGCTCATATCACGTGTCCACCATAACAACGGCAATGCCAACTGGGATATAGAACTGATGCTCTCAGTCCGAAACCAAGAAGAGAAGGGAAAGTCTCATCGCTCATTTCGCAGGAACACGCTCATAGAATACAATATATGCTTGTTCGTTCTGCAGTCGGTCTTTGCTACGCAGATCGCGGGGATTGAAATCGACAGTTCGCTCATCATCGAATCTCCGCCAACACTGGCGCGCTCCGTCTCGCACCAAAGAGATGTAATGCCCACTGCTCATAGACGACCCGATATGGCGTAACACACCATATGCATCGTACGTAAATGGGGGTACAGTCGCCAGGGTAGTATCGGGTGGCATCGTTGCCTTCGGGTCACCATTCGACTCTGGGCTTGGGGGCGAATAAACAAAGTCATCCATCCGCAGGCCATGTAAAGGAAACTCAATAGGAGTGTGGATCTTCCGGGCACTTTGTGTTTTCGACGCCGAGAATCTCTTGAAATGAATCACCAAGATTTGTGGAGCCCGCGTGATGATGATCTGTTTGGTTGCAACCCTTTCGCATTTGCAGTAAGGACACTTCCACACCTCGTCGCCGCTCAACATCTCTTCTTTACAATAGCTGCGCAGACATTGATAGATATCACCAGTCCCGGACGGCGGGATTTCAACGCTAATGCTGTAGAAAGCCTCATACGTTGTGGATGTCCGCTTGCAGGTTGTACAACGGAGCCGGCTAGCATGCTGACCAGCAAAAAGCGAAGAAATAAAGGACTCTTCTCGATGACAGTACCGATCCCATTCAATCTTTGAGACTTTGGTAACAGGCATCCTTTCCCGCTGCATCTCCTCTTCAAATGTCAGTGGTCTCAAAGGGCTTCTCTGCCAATTGATGTTTAAATCCTCGTGTAGACAGTCAACAGCAAAGTCAAAGAACTCTTTGGCATCCTGCTGTCGGTCGATGGCCCATTCCTGGTTTAGCCTTCCGCAGAAGTTTCGGAACGAGGTAGGAACAATCACTTCCACGTCACCCTTCCACAATGACCTTATGAGATTGGCAAAAAGGCCCGGCATGACTCCCTGCGAGCCTTTCCAGTTCTTCTGCACATAGTATCGAAATCGATTATCAACAAAAAATCTACTCAACATCATCGTCGCGTTCAAGCATTGTATCGTCGAATTCATATAGCAGGTCACGCCAAAATTGGCAAGACCAGTCCTCGGCAACTTTGCGCGATATATTGAACTTGGAGTGTAAAGAGCAGTCTTTGTAGCAGAATTCTGCCGTGCCAATGTAGGCTGAATTTGTCGGCCATCAGTAACGCCGCTATAACTCGGGCGTGGAACTGCAGGTGGAGGTCGCGAGGGAGCGACGGGGACAGGGGCAGCATAGTTAGGTGTAGGCGGTACTGGTGGCCGGGCATGTGGCGTCACCATTGATTCTTGAATAGCATGGGGCTCCGGGAAGCGCCGTAGAAAGTCTTCATAGGTATGTACGAATGGCGTAGGAGGCTCATCTGTCTCTTGTCCCTCGGGTTCCTCTGTCATCGGCTCCTCTTCAATATATGTCGTAGTGTCAATTTCTTCGTTCTTTGACTTTTCCATCCATGCGGTGAGCTCGTCTGGATTCAAGGGCTTATATTCGCGTAGCCGTCTCTTCCTCACTTCCAAGCTAGAATTAGCGCTTGCCATAGTAGGGACTCTTCCAAGAGGTCGCCCGGGCCTTGCGACTGGACGCTTTTTCTGGAGCGAACCCAGCACAGTAGCTGTGGAGGATGTGGCAAGGGATTGCTGTCCAAGGAGATCGATCCAGGCATCGAGGCCACCCAGCAGAAGGGCGGGAGGACGACCATCCTTCAAAGGTTTATATGCATTGAACTCATAAAGTGTATCATAGAGAGCCCTAAGATGTGGCGCTGTTGTTCCAACAGGGGATCCGGCGAGGTAGCTGACTGAATCGGTGGATTGATCATAGTAAACTATCATGTCAAACTCGTTCCGCTTCTCAAATAAGGACTGTTCATGCTCAGGTGACACCACCAAGCGCTCCTCAAGCTCCTCCGCCGACACGTTTTCTTTCAGTGCCACTGGTTCAATGCAGATGATGGATTTCGCGTATACATGCCCACTATCGTACTGGTCCCGCGGGCGAACGTCGACCAATAACACGTTATATCTTCGGAGATAGTCGAGTAGCTCATGGGCGCTGATTGCACTGCTGTGTGGCAAATCAGCAGTGTTACTTCTGTCTTCCTTCACCTGGTGGATTCCATTCGGGGTCCATGATCTATAAGGATTGTCGTCGAAGCCATTACGACTTGGGCTGCCCCGGGATGAATTAGCGAGATGCGAGTATCGCTGGTTTACTGGACGCGAGCTTTCGGTTGAGGTCCTAGGTGGGTTTGAAGGCGGCTGAGACGGGACTGTCCAGATTGGACTATAAGCTGGATCTGGTGCGCGAGGAAGCGACGTATTGAGGGGGACTTTGGGAGGCAGGACCGGACCATTATGTGATGACCCCATGCTACGGGGTCCTAGAGGTCGCCGCGAGGGCGAAGCAAGGTTTGGGTTATACGGCGACCCTTGAGGCATATAAGACAACGGGCGTCTAGGGATATCGCCATTATAACCCTGTGTGGTATCTTGACCGTTCATTGTCAGGAACGAGTCGCTTGTAGCAGGCGGTGATGCTCTTAGTTTGGCGAAACGCTGGGCCAACATATCTTCTGCAGGCGCCGAGTATCTATTCTGTCTCTCTTGTAAACCCAACGACCGTTGAAACTCCGACGGACTAGGCATTCGTGCTGACTTATAATCTTGTTCGGCTTGGCGACCTCTTGGACTCGGACTTCGAAGTGTACCAGCAGGTATTAGTTCCGGGGTAGGACTTGAACAATTATGCTCGGTTAAAGTCGTAGGCTGTACATTGCTTCTAAGATTGTCTTCTAAAATTTGTTGCTTGATATCGTCCATAGTCCCTTGTTTTGTCCGTACAGCCTATAATCTTGCGGTTAATCAAATTTGCGTAGAACAATGTGAGCCAAAAATTGCTGTAACCAATTGAATAAACATGACTGGGGTCCATACCATCATCAAATTTGCAAACTTCTTGTACCAATCCGAGCGCTGGCTGGCAGTGGTTCGATACTCTGGGTGGTGAGGTATGATATTGATAGTGATCTCCGAAGCACGAAGGTACTGCACGTAAGCTTTGTCCGGTTGATCGTTATCAGAAAATCTCCTAGCATTTTCTATTGCCTCTTGGGCTCTGTTAAGAAGGATGTTGAGCTATAGAGAGTTAGCAATCTTGCTTCGGTATTTCGAGGAACCTGAGAGTAGGAGCATACTGAAGAATCCTCATTCACATCCAGGGCTGCCGCCTGGTCTTGAAGGTCCTTGATATTTGGAAATCGTGGAGATTGATAACCAGCTGGAGTGGCATGGTTGCTGTTGGAAAGCGACTCTGGTCTGCTAATTTGCCCCCCAGGGCGACCGATATTTTCCCACGGCGCAAAGCCCGGTGGAGAGGGCAAAGCGGCTGCATTTGAGGACATTATACAAAGTTTGGTAAAAGCATTTCAATCGATGCTGTACATAACCAAGAGCGCTTCAAAAAGCTCGGCGGGGAAGCGTCGAGGAAATCGCTCGGTCTTCGGAGGCGGTCACTGGCTCTGAGACACGTTTGGGCGATAATCGGGAACAGCAACGGACATCAAACACAAAACGAGAGAAAGGATGCGGCGTGAAAGAGAGGATGAGATATGAAAGAGAAGAGTACCGCTGAGGATTAGGAGTAAAGGAAAGACGGAGATCCTCAATAGAAGGCAGACAGATTGCGGGATGTTCTGGGGTAAAAACTGTAAGTTACACCTGACAACATCAGAAGGATAAGGAGGATAAGGCGGCACAATAACAGTATCGATACTTACCGCCCGCGACTATGACGCCACATGCGTATGCTTAAGGGTTGAGTCAGCGTAGGCCTTACCTAACGAAGCTTAGCCGTCACTTTCTCCGTTAGGCAAGTTGGTACCTCAGTCGATTGGTATCGATGGATCTGCCTGGAGCTTAGATCAACTCCTCCCTCACTTCCCCTCCCAGACCTTGTATTTCTTCATAACACCTCCTGGAAGGCCGAGATAACTCAGTTTTATCCTGTCGCCTTCGCAGCACAAAGTCTACGGTCGCGATTCCCGCCTTTCCTGTTATTCAACGCCGCTACCCAACGTCATAGCTACTCGTCGCTTGACCATCCTTCGACTACCAATCGCGCCCCTCTGATAACATTACCGTCGCCATGGCGGGCTGGTTCTCCTCATCTTCTCCCATTGATGATCAGGTGGAGAAAGCCACCTCATCTTCTTTGTATGTTTAAGCGCTATGTTTTCATCATTCCTAGGATTCATTGTCGAATGGCAAAGCCGACCGAATCCCGGTTCTAACCACTACACTAGGGAGGATATTGCCCTCAACTTAGAGATTTCAGACCTCATTCGGTCAAAGAGTGTTCAACCTAAAGATGCGATGAGGTCTCTGAAACGACGATTGGAAAATAAAAACCCGAATGTGCAGTTAGCGACATTGAAGGTTAGTCCCCCGCCCCCTAACTCGGAAGCGCTCATTCGCTTTCCATGTGTACTGATGTGTTCTATATTGTAGTTGACAGATACATGCGTTAAGAATGGCGGAACACATTTCCTCGCCGAAATCGCTTCTCGCGAGTTCATGGACAACCTCGTCTCCCTTCTGAAAGCGGAAGGTTCTCCGCTTAACACAGAGGTGAAAGAGAAAATATTGGAATTGATCCAGGACTGGGCGATGGCAGCCCAGGGCCGTATGGACCTGAGTTATGTAGGGGAAACATATCGCAAGTTACAAGGTGAAGGTTTCCGATTTCCGCCAAAGACCCAAATCAGCGGGAGTATGCTCGAGAGTAGCGCGGTAAGTGTAACCTGATCTTCAGCTACAGCGACCATTGACTTTACTAACAATAGATGTTGTATGAAGCCCCCGGAATGGATCGACTCAGACGTCTGTATGCGCTGCCGTACGCCGTTCAGTTTTATGAATCGCAAACACCACTGCCGGAATTGTGGTAACGTCTTCGACGCTCAATGTTCTAGCAAGAACCTTCCTCTACCTCACTTGGGGATATTACAGCCTGTCCGTGTTGACGATGGGTGCTACGCAAAACTAACTTCGAAACCATTCACACCCTCTGGATTGTCGGATCGATCCGCCTTCAAGAATAACTCTATCACAAAGTCTAGCGTGATGGAACCGCGTACGGCGCGGGCAGAGGGCGGTTTTGATGATGACCTACGACGGGCTTTGCAGATGAGCTTAGAGGAGGCGCAGGGTAGAGGATCTACTGGTTACGTTCCACAGCCGAAGGTTGCCCAAGAGCCGCCTCAGGCATCTAGTCAATCCAGAACCGAAGAGGAGGAGGATGCAGACCTAAAGGCCGCTATTGAGGCATCCCTGCGCGACATGGAACAACATAAGCAAAAACACGCAGCCGCTCTGAAAAACACCCCTATTAATGAACCTTCTACATCTCGAGATACACCTGGCGTGACATCGTTACCCAAGAATCCTTATGAACTGAGCCCTGTGGAGGTGGAGAATATCCACCTCTTTGCCACTCTTGTTGACCGATTACAACACCAGCCACCGGGTACTATTCTACGTGAGCCTCAGATTCAGGAGTTATATGAGAGCATCGGCACCCTTCGACCTAAATTGGCTCGGAGCTATGGTGAAACGATGAGCAAACATGGTATGCGCCTACCCAGGTTTTGAGAATGATGGTGTTAACCATAGACGTATAGATACACTACTTGATCTACATGCTAAACTATCAACGGTTGTCCGGTATTACGATCGCATGCTGGAGGAGCGCCTCTCGAGTGCATATTCGCAGCAGTCACTAGGATATGGAACCGTTCCTAGCGGCCCACGATATCCTAATGTGTACCCCTCGATGCCGCCACTTGCTCCCGAAGGGAAGAGTGGAGTTGAGAACTTCTACTATGGGAATCCAGGCGTGGAAAAGCCGACAATTTCTAGTACACCATATACCCAGCAGCAACCAGAGGGGGAAGGACTCGACAGGGCTGGAATGCGCAGCGGCGCCATGAGCCCCGGCATGTACTCACAGCCCCCTCCAGCTATGCCGCAAAGTACACCATGGTATGGAAACACGCAGGCTGCGTCTCCAAAGATCTCAGCCGCCAATACACCTTACCCTCAGAGCCCCTCTGCGTACCCTGCCCCAGGCGCACCGACACATTTCTATACAGCCCCCAATCAGCCAGACCAAGATGTGAACCCTTATCAATCTCCCCGACAAAGCGAGGTGGACGCCTCTTATTTGCCGTCGCCTGTGACACGGCGCGATTCCTTGTACCAACCAACTACACACCCCAACGTTCCAGCACCGAGCGTACCAGAGCAGCCACCATCGGCTGAGCAAATGGCGTACCTACAGCTGTCAGAGTCTCACCCTATGCAACCTGGAAGCCAGCCTGCACTTAACCGCCAGCCCACCGACCCTGCAACCCAGTCTTATTACTACCAACAACCTCCCCCAGCGCACCCAGGCGCTGCGTACCCCCAGGCGCAACCGGCGTATCATGGTGCGTATCCTGTCAACGATGCCTCTCCGGTAGGCGGAACTGCCCCTCCAACACATTATCAACAGCAGCAACAGCAACCACAACAACAGCAACAACAACAACCACCACCACCATCGCGACCCGCAGTTGAAGAGAGCTTGATTGAGTTGTAAGACATGGCGAGTTTCTGGCTTCTGTGTGACGAGAAATGGACTTTTATATCTAATTTGCTATAAATGAACTTCCCTTTTGTGATCGTTATGATACCAGTTGTTTTGGTTGTTAGCAGATTGCAAAATTGTATCCCAACCGTTGATGAATTCTTCCAATTCCCATTTGATCATGAATTTGTATAGGCCCCTCAAAGAAAGGCAATAGCACGCAGATCAATGGTGAGTCTGCATGTATACTAGTCGAAAAGAGCATAGCGCAGGCAGGTGATGAGAATGCGGGGAAAGCTTGGTTCTCCAACCTGATTTATGGAAAATCCCTATATATGAAGGTACATACACCAGCTCCTTACTCCCTTCTGCTAAAACAACCCCCACGTCGCACCCCACGTCACTTTTCCGAGGCTGGTATCGGATATTCAAGCAGCTTTCCTGGTCTAAAACGGAGATGACTTGGTTGTCAGGCCTGTTGATCCGATATTCCATGCCTTCGAAAACAAGAGTGCAAGATGCGGTTGACTCGCACTGAGGTGGAGAGACACAATAGCAAATCATCCTGTTGGATTGCGATCCACGGCTCCGTTTATGATGTGACTGGTTGGCCTCCATATTCGACCTCAACTAGGACAATCTCTGGTTCTAATACTTTTTAGATTTTGTGGACTCTCACCCCGGAGGTTCCAATGTCATTCTGCGCTGTGCTGGGAAGGATGCAACAGAGGACTTTGACTCGGTACATGAGCAGGAGATCCTAACACAGTCTTTGGCTCCTTCAGCTCTTCGCGGACACGTTGAGCCGGGTACGCTGGTGAAGTCAAGCGACATCAGCGAAATTAAACCACCAATCAAAGATGCAACCCTTCCTCCTCCATTGAGCAGCTTGCTTAATCTTCATGATTTCGAAATCGTCGCCCAGAAGCACCTCCCCCCTAATGCCTGGGCTTATTACGCCTCCGGAGCCGAGGACGAGATCAGCAAGCGACAAAATTCCAAGGTGTTCCAGAAAGTCTCTCTTCGACCGCGCATCCTTCGCAGCATTCCGGCTGTAGATACAACGACTAATATCCTGGGCAAGCAAGTTTCATTGCCAATTTACATGAGCGCTGTTGGCATTGCAAAACTTGCCCATCCCGACGGGGAGCGCGCCCTAGCAGCCGCAGCAGGGAAAGAAGGATTGGCGCAAGTGCTTGCCAACGGAGCCAATAATGTTATTGAGAGTGTTATGGATGCACGGGCGAGCCCGGAGCAGCCTATCTTTCAGCAGCTGTATGTTAATCGTGACATCACGAAGTCAGAAGATGTGGTTCGGCGTGCAGAACGCGCTGGTGCCAGTGCCATCTGGATCACGGTCGACTCTCCAGTTGTAGGGAAGAGGGAGATGGATGAACGATTCAATCTTCGGGTTGAGGTACGAACAGTTCCCTTTCGGGAAGATCGTATTCGACTAACATTGACCCCGACCAGGCGAGGGACGACCCGTCCAGAAAAGGGCAAGGCGTCGCTAAAACAATGGCCAGCTTCATTTCCCCATTTATCGACTGGGATATCCTTTCATGGTTGCGGGGCCTTACTAACCTGCCCATAGTCATTAAGGGGATTCAATGCGTTGAGGACGCGGTACAAGCATATCACTGTGGAGTGCAGGGGATTGTTCTATCTAACCATGGAGGACGATCGCAAGATACGTATGTCAGAATTTCAAGAATGTACAATTTGTTGAAGACAACTATTAATGGTAACAGCGCCCAGGCACCCCTCCTCACTCTTCTTGAGATCCGACGGTATGCTCCGTTACTCATTGACAGCAAAATGCAAATCTTCATTGACGGTGGCATTCGACGAGGCATTGATGTATTGAAAGCAGTGGCTTTGGGGGCGACCGCCGTAGGGCTAGGTCGGCCTACGTTGTATAGCCTTGCAGCAGGATATGGTGAGCAGGGGGCTCGGCGAGCCATTGAGATCCTACGACAGGAGATAGAGTCTAACATGGTGTTTCTGGGAGTCACGAATCTAAAAGAGCTGGGACCGCATCTTCTGAATACTGCTAGATTAGAAAGAGACATGGTTGGGTCAGTGAAGTTGTAGTCTACTGGAATATAGCAACACATCATGATACCTCAGATTTTAAGGGCTCGCACAATAGCCTAACAATGATTATATTGAAAGCATTCTTTACATTCATGACAACACTAGTAATCCGCATCCTTGGTCTTGGTAAATCACCCCCACGCCCGTCATCGGTCTTCCCCCGAACCCCGCATGGGGCTTCTTTAGCTTAAGTGTATGTCTATCACCATTTCAACGTTTTGTTGCTGCATACCATCTCGTGAGACGCTTTTACTGAACTCCATTGGCGATGAGCAACCAAGTTGATATTCTTCTCTACGGCCTAGGAGCGTATGGTCTCAATTCCATGTATATACACTGCGTTTACTGACAGTTCATGATAGCATTGGCTCCTTCTATGCCTTCATCTTAACCCGCAATGACCGAGTCCGTCTAACAGTAGTAGCGCGGTCAAACTATGACGCCGTTAAGGAAAACGTATGTAAATTGATCGTCAACGTTATATAATCGGACACAACCCGTTACTAACTGTCATATGTCCATAGGGTATCTTCCTCGACAGCGGAAACCATGGACAGCACAGGTTCCGCCCTCACCACGGTAATCTAGCCCATGCTAATATGCATGAGCAAAAAGGACTGACATCTGTAGTCATCAAATCCCTCGACGAAGTATCCGGTCCATTTGACTACGTTGTCTGCGCGCATAAAGCTATTGACCAAGAGGCAGTGGTAACCCGACTACAGCCAGCCGTGAACGAAAAGACAACCATTGTGATCATCCAAAACGGCGTCGGCAACGAGGAACCGTTTCGAAACACATTTCCTATGTCCTCCATCATCACATGTGTGGTATGCTTCTCTCCAGTGATTCGCTCGGTATATGGTACTTACGAATAAAAGACATGGGTAGGGGCGACACAAACATCACCGGGCACGGTCAAACACACCAAATCAGAAGATATGCAGATTGGTCTATACCCTAATGCATCGGTAGATGAAACACTTGAGCGGACTCGTTTGAACACATTCGCTTCGCTGTTAGAGGAAGGAGGAACCAAGTTCCAGGTGCTGGAGGATATGCAGCGTCAGCGCTGGGAGAAAGTCGTCTGGAATGCAGCTTGGAACCCTCTTACTACTTTGACCTTACTCGACACGCAGTCTTGGCTCCATTCCAGTAAGGATGCGACGCCCTTAACACGCCGATTGATGCGGGAGGTTATCGATGTAGGTCGCAGGTGCGGTGTGCCATTGAATTATGGGCTTGTTGATGAGTTGATGGATAAGATTAACTCTTTACCGGGTATTGGAAGTAGTATGCAGACGGATTATAAGAATGGAAGGCCCATGGAGGTGGATGTTATCTTGGGGTTTCCGGCTAGGAAGGCGAAGGAGTTTGGTATGGAGACACCGGTTTTAGATACGATTCATGCGCTGGTACGGGCTGTGGATGGTCGTGTGAGGGCGGCTTTGTAGATGATTAGATTACATGTCAGTTTCTCTATGCTGGTTTTACTGAGAGTGTAGGTCGGACGTCATATAGAAGACCGAAATTATCAAGAAATATATAGTAGTGAGGCGCTTGATTACATTTCCTGGGAGATGTTCGGTGCAATAATCTCATCATACAACTACACCCAGGCACGTTCGATATGTCTATTAGTTCGACCATGATTCTACCCATGCTAAGGTAGGACTTGGACATCAGCTCTCCACAAGACCACCAAATGCACACCGAGTCAGCTTAGCTACGTTGCAGCCCAACAGATCAGAGAAGCATGATTAAGCTGCCAGCTCGCCAAAGTCAAGCCCCCACGCACTCCCCACGGAATATAGCAGGCCAGGGTCTAGGAAAGGACAGCCCAATATGTTAGCTTAAAGGCTTCCCCACGGCCACAATGCGGAGAACAGCCCACTTCCCCAGATTCCACCGTCTGAGGCACCCCCACGTACTTGGCTCAACGATGGGGACTAAACGTCACGACCGACAGATCAGCGCCTACTAGCACTATAGAGCTTGTTGGCAGCGGGTGGAGAAGGATAAAGCCCAATGTCCCTCATACACACTTGACCTCCGTGGAGGCAACGGAATCGGCCACCATAAAGCATAGCATGAGTGCAGAACAGCCAACCCCAGCTCCTACTCAACCAGCTGGCCATGGGAACAAACCCTCTGCGATGCACGTCGGGGCAATCCCTGGACAGCCTGGTAAGATTCAGAATGGTGACACTGCCTTGGCTCTCTTTGAGAACTTCGATGAATTGCACGAAGATATCGACCCAGAGGAGCTAAAGCGGCTTGTTCGCAAGATTGATTTTATGATTCTGCCCTTTCTGGCTGTTTGCTATGCGTTTTACTATGTGAGCCGTTCCGTCATCCGGTTGTGCAAGTATCTAACAGTGTTAGATTGATAAAACTACTCTTTCATACGCGGCCATTTTTGGCATTAATGAAGATCTGGGTTTGTCAGGAGAGCAATACTCGTGGTTATCGAGTGTGTTCTACTTTGGGTTCCTGGTAAGATATGCTATTATCCTGGCTATCCTGCGTTAAAAGCCCATGACGAGCTGAGCTACAAGAAACCCCTTCGCATCGGTATATCCTGATAATATCCAAGATACACAGGCTAACCGCATACCACCATAGGTCTGGGCCCTTCCAACCAACTTCCTGATGCAGAAGTTCCCCGTGGGCAAGTATCTAGGTGTCAACATCTTCCTCTGGGGCTTCTTCCTCATGCTTCAAGGTATAGTACAGCTCTTAATACAATGATACGTACTTCCTACTAATATCCATCTATAGCGGCCGCAAAGAACTTCGTCCAACTCGCCGTGCTCCGCGTAATCTCCGGTGCAGCAGAAGCATGCAGGTACCTACCATTCCAACCCCAAGTCCACCCTAGGAACAAACAGCTAACAGCCCAGCGATCCTGCTTTCATGCTCATCACAAGCATGTGGTACACCCGCCGTCAACAACCCATCCGAATCGGACTCTGGTATACCGCCAACGGCTTCGGTATTGCCCTCGGCGGTCTCCTCGGCTACGGCATTGGACACATCAAAGGCGCCCTCTCCTCCTGGAAATACGAGTTCCTGATCATCGGAGCCCTATGCTCTCTCTGGGGTATCCTGATAGTAATATTCCTGCCCGACTCGCCGGTGACAACGCGGTACCTATCGCCCCGTGAGAAACGCCTCGCTGTAGAACGACTGCGAGAGAACCAGACAGGTGTCGAGAATAAGACTCTCAAGCCTGCGCAGATCTATGAAGCTTTCCTGGACTGGAAGGTCTGGGTGTTTCTCCTCCTCGGATTATCAGGAAATATCCCCAACGGGGGTATCTCGAATTTCGGGACGTTGATTTTGAAGGGATTTGGGTTTTCTACTTGTACGTTCGGCAATCTCTTTCATCCACTACCCTTTACCTAGTTAAATACTGATACTGATACTGATTCCTTGGAAAAATGGCAGTGGTAACAACCCTCATGCAAATCCCCTACGGAGCCTTCATAGCCCTCATGATCCTCTTCAGCATCTGGCTGAATGACCGCCTCCCTCAGAACAACCGCTGCTACGTGACGATGCTATTCCTCCTCCCCAACCTCGCCGGCTCCTTCGGGCTCTGCTACCTCCCCGAATCAAACAAAGTCGGTCGGCTCATCTGTTACTATCTCACCGGGTCCTATAACGCATCTTTCGTGCTCATCCTCTCCATCCTCACGGCCAACATCGCCGGCCACACGAAGAAAGTCGTCACGAACGCGATGATCTTCATTGGTGTTTGTGCTGGGAACATTGCCGGCCCGTTCTTTTATAAAGAGGCGCAGGCGCCGCGGTATCCGCTAGGCATATGGTCGATGATTGTGTCTCATTTTGTGGAGATCTTACTGGTGATTGTGTTGCGGACGGCGCTGGCCTGGGAGAATCGGAGACGAGATCGGTTGCAGGGGATTGGGCCTAGTGGGGAGGGCGAGGAAGCGAGGCAGTGGGAGATGGATCGGACGGCGTTTAGTGATTTGACGGATAAGGAGAATTTGAATTTTCGATATGTTTACTAGATTAGGGGCTTTTTTGGTTGTTTTGGTTTTATCTGTTTTACTGTCCTAGTGACTTTCTTAGGGCTGAGTGAGAATGGAGATGTGTCGGACTTGTTTCCGATGGCTTTGAGGGGGATTTCCGAGTAGACTTGTAACAAAGCTGTTATTGAATCGGCCAATCTGGGTTCGTCATTTGTCAATGGTGTGTATTGAGGGGAACCTTGAGCTTCCCCGTATTTTCTCCACGAATAGAGCTCCATATCTACGACGTGGGATGTCAGGGCATGATCATAGCTCCTCACCCCCCGGACTTTGTAACGACCCCCACGCGGGGAAGCATGCAATATGTACACTGTCTATCCGATTGTATATAAAGCTCTACATGAATAAAGATATAGTAGTCGTAACCATCAATCTGTCTCACCAGGAAACCAGAAATGGCCAAAATCAAGTCAATTGAGTACTTTCGCGTTAAGCCTCGATGGCTTTTCGTCAAGGTCACCGACGAAGAGGGCCGATTCGGCTGGGGCGAGGGTACTTTAGAAGGTCATACACAAGCAGTGGAGGGAGCTTTGGATGAGCTCATTGCGAGGCTAGTAGGCTATGAAGCTGAGTATGTCCCATTTTACGTTCAATATTTTGGGTTCCTCCTCGGTAGAAAGTACTAATCAATGACAGTGATATTGAACATATCTGGCAAACAGCTTGGCGTTTGGGTTTCTACCGCGGTGGACCTGTGTTTATGTCTGCACTTTCCGGCATAGATATTGCGCTCTGGGATTTGAAGGGCCGTGTGCTTGGTGTACCAGTTTATCAATTGCTGGGAGGGAAAGTGAGGCAGAAGGTACAGGTCTATGCGTGGATTGGAGGGGACCGGCCCAGTGATGTGGAAGTCGCAGCGTATGTAGTATGCTTCCATCCGTGCAGATACCGATATATATTAAGCTTGTGATAGGAAAGCGCGCATCGCCCAAGGACTCAAGTGCGTCAAGATGAACGCAACGGAAGATGTCAACTGGCTAGATTCACCCTCAGCAGTGGACTCTTGTGTTGAGCGACTAAAGCAGGTCAAGGCATTGGGCCTCGACGCAGGACTAGATTTCCACGGCCGACTACACAAGCCTATGGCCAAACAGCTGGCGAAAGCATTGGAACCATATCGACCATTGTTCATTGAGGAACCACTGCTCTGCGAACACCCCGAAGCGCTCAAGCAACTCTCCGATCTGACAACGATCCCTATTGCATTTGGAGAACGGTTGTATACGCGGTGGGATGCGAAGAGGTTTTTGGAAGACGCTTCTGTGGATGTCTTGCAGCCGGATATTGCTCATGCCGGCGGTATATCAGAGACGAAGCGGATTGCTACCATGGCTGAGACTTACGATGTGGCGATTGCACCACATTGTCCGTTGGGGCCCATTGCACTGGCGGCGTCTATTCAGGTTGCTCTGTCTACGCCCAATTTTGTTATCCAGGAAATGTCGTTGGGGATGCATTATAATGTGGAAGCGGGGGATATTGATTTGAATAGCTATCTAGTGGATAAGTCGGTCTTTGATATCAATGAGGGATATGTAAAAGCACCATCCGGTGTTGGGTTAGGGATTGAGATCGATGAGGCCATGGTCAGGAGAATCAGTGCTGAGACGGAACCATGGCTTCCAAAGGAGTTTTACGGACCAGACGGTGGCATTCGAGAGTGGTGATCTGGTTGTATATAGCTTAGTAGTATTGTGTTGATAACCTAATGTCTTTCACGCGGAATGTCTATAAGGCTGATTGTTTACCACCATACTAGACAAGTTCCACGGGGACGATGCGGGGGCGTGGGGGTTCCCATAACTAAAACTGGTAAATATTCGAGGGGAACCCTGGTGTGAGAACGATAAAAAGCTATAAGTAATCGGCCTGTCACGCTCAACTTCGCTGGGGCGTTCGTGGTCGGCAACTGGCGCCCTGCATCATTCACCATAATGGATCTCTTTTCGCTCACGGACAGAACCGCCCTTGTTACGGGTGGAACTCGAGGAATTGGACAGCAGATGGCTATCGCTATGGCTGAAGCTGGTGCGGATATCATTCTGGTCCAGGTAAGCAGATACGTGCTACCAACAAAGCAACAACAGGTCCAGAGATCTGACTCTTCCGGTATGCAGAGAAACACTAGCAATCAAGACACGAGGCAGAAGATCGAAGACCTAGGGCGCAAGGCAACGATTTACACAGCCGACCTATCTTCTCGGGAGTCTGTCTCTACATTAGTGTCGAATGTCTTGAATGATGGGCATGATATCGACATCCTTCTCAACTGCGCGGGGATACAACGGCGACACCCGAGTCATATGTTTCCAGATAATGACTGGGACGAGGTATTATACTCTCCTGTCACTGAAGAGTAATATGCATACCAACTTTAACGGCGGCAGGTCCTCCAAGTCAATCTTTCTACCGTTTTCACGCTCTGCCGGGATATCGGCGCCTATATGCTCACCCGGACCCCGGATTCCTCCGGTCACCGCGGGAATATCATCAACGTCGCCTCTCTCGTTTCATTCCAAGGTGGATTGACCGTGCCGGCTTATGCAGCTGCAAAAGGTGGCGTGGCACAATTGACTAAGGCGTTATCGAATGAATGGGCCGCCAAAGGAATCAACGTGAACGCGATCGCCCCCGGTTATGTAGCTACGGACATGAACACGGCGTTGTTGCAAGACCCGGAGCGGTCGGCAAGCATCCTTGCGAGAATCCCCGCGGGACGATGGGCAACCGCGGAGGATTTCAAGGGAGTGACGATATTCTTGGCAAGTCGAGCGAGTGGATATGTCTTTGGTGAGATTTTGACGGTCGATGGCGGGTGGATGGGGAGATGATGAGGGTGTGTGTATTGTATGTACATACATTGGGGCTGACAATACATAGTGGAATGTTAATCGAAGAGGAATTCCAGGTTGAATTGTAATGGTCTCAATTTGGGAGAGTAATTGGTTGATCGGAGGTGTTTCGCTTCGAGCTAATCCCCAACCATTGTATAATGGTCATCTATATAGCTTGTTGGTACCATGGTAATGTCATCTCTTAGTGCTGATTAGTCCGGTATACTTCGCACGCCGAACTTTAGTCAATGAATCATGAGGTACGAAGCTGGTACCGACTCTCGTCTAGAAAAACATTGTAATGACTGGTCACTAAAGAGTACCTATTAGTTACTTGTAGTACGGAGTACTACAAGTACTATAAAGGTACCTGCCCAGAATTCCTCGTGCTTTCTTCATGGATTCGATATTGCGTGCTGCATTTGATCTGTATGATGACGTATGAGTACGTACGAGGATCGGCAAGTGATGGAGGGAAATTCATGGAACCATGCATAGAAGATATCATGCTGTTCTCATAGCAGCAGACTGGTCCAATCGGTCCCCCATGAGGTTGAAGGAGATCCTGAGGAAGAAAAAGGATCCAATGAAGGTGATGAGAGTAAGACCAGGAATGGTGACTGAATTCAAAGGGAAAATCTTCGATCCACCCCAATGCGGTCTAGACTCCCGGATCCGTAACGCGTAATGGTATTACCCAAATCCATTCATTCCTCCTCTCTTTCTTTTCCCTTCAAAACGAGCCTCTCCTTTTCTTGAGTCTTTCTCCTTTCTGGAACCAGATTTCTCTTTCTTTCCTTCTCTTCATTCATCTAGACTTTTTCTGAGTGAGAAAGAGATTTGAGACTTTCAATTTTAACCCCTCACTGTCACGCGTCTCTCCCCTCATCAGCTTAATTTCGTCCATCCCCTTCCTTGATATTTTTTACTACTGCACAGTTTGATCCAAACCCTCGGGTGTAACGAACTTCTCACCTCCACCAATTGCCTGGCGCGCTCCCCGCGCTGTCGGGGGATACTGATACCTAGGCACTCGACGCAAGCAAGCGCTCTTTGATTACTCTTACTCTATTTTCTTTTTCCTTACTTGTCCACCCGGCGAGTTTCTCCGCAAGGCCAACGTGATTGCAACGATCTACCCTCGGCAGCAGCTGCTCGTCGCCCCATTCGTGTGGTGTGCACACACACACCCTTACCCTTACCGCCATGCCGACCTCTAACACTTCGTCCCCCGTCAAGCGCCCCGGTCTGGGTCGTCGCGCAGTCTCCTCACACGCCGTCGTCACGCGATCGACATCCACCCAAAGCGAACTGGCCAACTCCAACACCGCCCACCAACAGTCCAAACTCTCTCACCGGCAACATCGTGCTCACATCGTCGGCGGCGGTCATCGCAACCACCATCGTAATCCGTCTTTTGGCAAAAATCTGAATAAACAGCTACAAAGGCATCTTTCTCACACTCAAATCGACTCGGAAAAACCCGTCCGCCATCATCAGCGCAAGAAGTCCGCTCCTGCGACTCCCGCTGCTGTTACGCCCGCCACAAGTCCGCGTGGGACGCACCACGTCCGTTGGGATGGAGCCTTGGACGATAGTCACCAGACCACCACTTCGATGAAAAAGAACAACTCGAGCCCTGCTCTTCGCCGAAACAGCAGCAGTGTCATCGGAAAAGTAGGGAAAAAGGCCCTAGTCACCGATCGCCCGCATACCAGTTCGGGCAAGAAGAAAACTGTGGGCTTCGAATTGGCCGATTCCGACGACAACGACGACGGAGACTGGGAGGACACTACTCAATCACCGGAGAGCACTAGGCGCAGCTCCGTCGCTCAATCTAAGGACAGTGTGGAGAATACGACGGTGTTGGTGGATCCGTTGACATTCGTTAAGCGCTCTTATCCACAGTTCCCTCGGTCGACCAGCCTTCCCGAGTCGAGCCTGAATAATTTTGGTCACAACAACCCATCGCCGGATGACGACAGTGAAGACGAACCCGACGAAGATAGTGATACAACACAACAACAACAACCGCCAAAGACTGAGGAGCGGGAAGAAGGTAGCCGCGCTACTGACCACGGTGATATTGCATCTCGCCTGCTGAGTCCCGCACACGCCGCTAAAGCACCGCCCGCCATGTCCTCCATATCGGCCACAGCGAAACCAGCCACTGTCGATTCACTGTCGCGCAATGCTTCTCTGACCAATATAGCTTCCGGCCATGATGGGCTACGCCGACCACCACTCTCCTCATCCCAAAATGCCCTGGCTAATACCCCAGGTAATCTAACGCAAGCTACGTCATCGTCGATCGAAGGAGGTGTGTCGAGGTTCATCAAGACTGGTTTCCATGCAACTTCTCGCACCGATTCGGACCCCAACACTCCGTCCTCTTTCTTACCCCATTACCACCCCCAAACACCCCCCTCTCCTGGTCGGGGAGCAAGCTCCAAGAGAGCACGAGCATCCCCTCCCACCCGGCCGCCTGGCGCAGAGCCGCACTCCCGCACCCAGCAGAAGCTGTGGTTGCAGCGCACTGCCGCTTTGAACACCTCCCCTCCCGATGGCCATGGCGTCGCAGCGACCGCATCCCCGTCGATGGACCCGACTTTCATACCCGGAGCGCACGCCCGACCAGGAGCCGGATTTGATGCAGGAAGAGGGCTTGTCAATGGGGCGTCGCGGGCCGGCCCTGCGTATGACAATGAAGCAAAGCACGTGCGCAAGGCATATGAGAAAACCGCTTTGGAGCTTACAGTGGTCCGACGGTTCCAGTCACCGACCGGGGATAGTTTCCATCGTTTGGCGTACCTTGTCAATGATACGAAATTAGGTTCCGGCCACCACCAACGACATTCGTCCCTTGGTAAACCAATTAAGTCGGCGCCTGCCTTGACATTGCTCCAAAATGGCAAGCAGCAGTCTCCCAATCAGAGCAGTGCAAGTCCGGAGCCGAAACAACTAATCAGCCGGAAGCGCTCGGACCTAAAACCTTCCGCCTCCCAAACATATCTTCAGGAATCCGCCGATCTCGCAAATGAACCTGCAGATTCCTCACAACGACCTAAATCCCAACATCCTTCTCACCGCGTTCTCTCTACGTCCGATGAAGCTGCTCATCCGACACCCGCCGGGGAAGAGTACCCCGAAGAGCCATCTTTTATGACCAGCGAAGCTGAGATGATGATTCGTCGTATGTGGGAAAGCCGCGAGGTGGCCACCGCCGGCTGATGGGCAACCACTACAATTACAGCTCTACTTATGTCCTAATGTCTTCGCTATTGACTCAAGTTTTTCAACATTGCTTGTTCACTATTTCCCACTTCTTTCATCCTCATGGCTCAGGCATATATGGCGTTCACGGTGCATTATGTATAGCGTACCATCTCATTTCGGGAACCAATCTTGTGCATGCACGTTATCTTAATGGACGTCTTGCGTTCTGATTGCCTCTGTTGTTCTTCTTCCTTCCTCTGTTACTTATTATTCCCCGGGCATAGATATCTTCGGTTAATATTGTAATGTATCTACTATCTACGTTCGAGCGTGCCCGCGAATTGTTTATCTAAGCAGGCAAATTCATGATCCTCAAGGTTACTTCCAGATTCAATATCTTTCTATCTAGAATAGAATAATTGTATTCCCGATCCCATGTCTGTATATGTCATACGATATGAATACACAACATACAAATTACAATAAGTGCACAGCACGCCGTCTATAGTAACAAAGAATCTTGAAGGGAAAAAAAAGAAGAAAATCATGAGGTAAACAAGACGAGTTGTACATATGACAACATTGAAACAGAAGAAACAAAAGAATAGAAGAAGGAGAATAGAAAAACATCAAGTATTCCTATCCCGATCTTTACCTCGCCCACGACCACCACCTCTGCCACCACGACGAGCATTGTTCCCACCAGCAGCAGCATCAACATGTCCAGTCCGCTGCTGACGGGGCGTCGAAGCCGAGTTCTTCTGTCCAGATTGGTCAGGCCCATGGTTCCGAGGTAATTTTTGAGAAGGAGCTGGTGTAGAAGTATTCCCACTGCCTTTACCTCCACCGCCACGTCTCTTGCGTTGTTGGCCTTGACCCTGGCCTCCCTTGCCACGGCCGCCGCGACCAGATCGACCGTCTCTTTCGTTTTCTTTTTGGTCCACGGGCGGCAGGCCTTGGATGCGTCTGCTTTCTTTGTCCCACCATTCTTGGAATTCTTGTTCTGCTTGAATGTCTTGGAGGTTGTGTTTGGCTGTTGCTGCTTCGCGGATTTCATCTTTCTCTGTTTGCTGTTGCATGAGGATTGCGGCCAGGGAGAGGGAGTTGGGGGAGGGGGAGGTGAAGCTAGTTTGGTATGGTTCTGGACGAGGGATGTGGCGCACTGATTGGATCGCGGGTCGAGGTTGGGATTGTGGGGTTGCTGGAGGGTTGGGGGATGGCGCTATTGATGGACCTGAGATGGAAGGTTTGGAGGGAGTCTGTGTGTTCGTGGTAGAGGCTTTGCGATTCTGGATTTGTACGGGTGGTGTTCCTGGTTTTGATGGTGGTGTCCCGGCGACGGTTTGACGGAGGGTCATAGAGGGCGCCTTCGGGGTTGATTTGACGGAATCAAGGGATTGGTTGTCTTGCCCGTTGGTGGCTCCTAGTGGTATCGGTTTGGAGGGTGTAGCCATCTTCCATGGATTTTGGGGTGGTTCTTTGGCTTTCTTCTGAGCGGCAAGCATCTCTTGCATTTGTTGTTGCTGGATCTTCTTGCGCTCCTTTTGGGATAGCTTTGGAGTGAAGTTGTTGCTGTTGTTGCTGTTGTTGCTGTTGCCGCTTTCTCGAGGGGGAGAAGACATGCCCAGGCTAAGATTCGACACGCGATTTTCTGAGGCTTCGTCCATGATGTCTTTCAGATTTTTCTTGGAGCCTGAAACCACCGATGCACTCCAGGGTTTTTGAGAGGCGTCTGGTGGAGTAAGAGAACCGTTCTTCTTCCCGTTCAGCGCATTGGCTCGTAGTTCACTTGGAGACTCTGCAAGTATAGGATCTTGTGGGGAGGCCATTTGGTCATCCAAATAACTTCGGCCTTCCAATGATCCTCCCTCTGTTAGACTAGATCCCAGAGCTGGTGAGTCGGGGTATGAGCGACTGTCATTGGCATCATTTGATTTGACCTCACGGACTGCCGCCTTTCCTTTGTTAGATTCTCCCGGTATGAGCAGATTCTCGTCATCCATCTGGAACATCAGGTCACCGATTGAATGCTTGGGCCTCAATGATGGGCTACGCGACGTAGCAGCTGAAGCCCCCTTAGTAAAGGTCTGTTGCGCTTTCTGTCCCGAAGGCGCCGAAGGCGTGAGTGTCGCTCGAATCTTTCCCTCATTTGCTTCAATTTGATTGATATGTGACCGAAGCCTCATGGAATCGATCCTCCTCCGCCGGTCTCTTTCTACCAATGATACAAGCTCGGGGTACTTTTCAAAGACATATTCTTCGGAGTTGCGGCCTCGTGACACAGGAAAGCTCGAAAGCTGATTCTCGTGGCAAACAGAATCAAGCGCACCCAACAAGAATTCATCGAGATCCCCCAAAAATCTATCAAAGTGTGAGTAGCCAGGAATACTTCCGTTGTGTG